AGTGAAGGGGTGGAATAAAAATTTCCATGCAAATGGAAATGAAAGAAAAGCTTGGGTGGCACTACTCATATTTGAGAAAATAGATTTCAAAATGAAGGTCATCACAAGAGACAATAAAAGTCACTACACAATACTAAAAGAATAGATACAACAAGAGGGTATAACCCTGGTAAACATATATGCACCCAATATAGGAGTACCTAAATATATATATTTTTTAAGTTCTGGAGGATATTTAGGGAGAGATAAACAGCAATCCAGTCAAGGTAGGGGACTTTAACACCCAGCTGACTTCACTAGATAGATCTTCCAGGCTAAAAATTAACAAGGAAACAGTGATTCTAAATGACACACTGGACCAGATGGATTTAATTGACATTTTTAGAACATTTCACCCCAAAGCTACAGAATATACATTCTTCTCAAGTACACATGGGTCATTTCAAAAAGACTGAAATCACATCAAGCATCTTCTCAGATCATAATGGAATGAAATCAGAAATCAACTACAGTCAAACCACTCAAAAAACATTCTAACTCATGGAGGGTAATTGACATGTTTTTCAACAAAGAATATGTTACCAATGAGATCAAGAAAGAAATCAAAAACTTCCTGAAAACAAATAAAAATGAACACACAACAACCCAAAATCTCTGGGACACAGCAAAAGAAGTCCTGAGAGGAAAATTCATACCATTACAGGCCTACAAAAAAAAAAAGAAAGAAAAGAAAAGAAAGAAAATGTAATGATAAACTACTTAACTGTACAACTTAAAGATTAGAAAAAGAACAACAATAAAAGCTGCAAGTATTATGTACACCATTTGGTTAATTACATGTTGATTTCTTCTTTGCAGTTAGCTAAACTTATCATGTTCGGTTAGGGTCAAGCTCCTCTGGTTAAAACTGCATCTGCAAAATGCTGTGCTACATTTTAACATTGAGCAAGAATAGCATTTAGTAAGAACTGCCCAGACCTTCATACCATTGTCCTATCTAACAGCATGCAAGAATATTTTGGAGGAATGGAAATAGTCTATTGTCTTTATGTGTGACCAAATGACTGTATAAAGATTTAAAAAATTAATATAACTGTGTACCTAAAAAGGGTAAATTTTACTGAATATAAATTATGCCTTAATAAACTTGAATTAAAAAGAAGAAAAAAAGCTGAGAGTAAGTAGAAGGAGGAAATAATGAACATTAGAGCAGAAATAAATTACATAGAGACTAAAAAAAATACAAAAGATCAATGAAACCAAGAGGTGGTTCTTTGAAAGGATAAACAAGACTGATTAACCTTACCCAGGCTCATCAAGAAACAAATAAATGAAATCAGAAATGAAAGTGGTCCCAGTGTCACCCCAATAAGTTAAATAACAATAAATAAATAAATAAATTTTAAAATAAAAAAAAAGAAAGAAAAGTGGTGAAGTAACAACTGACACCACAGAAATACAAAAGATTGTAAGAAAATACTATGAGCAACTATATGCTGACAAGCTAGACACTGTGGATGATATGGAAAAATTCCTAGAAAAATACAATCTTGCAAAACTGAATCAGAAAAAATCAGAAAACCTGAATAGGTCAATAACAACTGAGGAAACTGAAGGAGTAGTCAAAACAACTCTCAGAAAACAAAAGTCCTGGTCTGGATGGCTTCACAGGGAAGATTTACCAAACATTCAAAGATTAACTAATACCTATACTCCTCAAATTATTCCCAAAAATCCAAGAGGAAGGAACACTTCCAAGCTCTTGTTATGAGGCTAGCATTATCCCAATTCCAAAGCCAGATAAAGACACTACAAAGAAAGAGAATTACAAGTCAATATCCCTGATGAACATAGATGCTAAAATCCTCAACAAAATATTAGCAAATCAGATCCAGCAATAGATTAAGAAGATCATACACCATGACAAGTGGGATTCATTCCAGATATGCAAGGCTGGTGCAGTATTCACAAACCAAAAAAGTGATCCATCACATAAACAAATTGAAAGACAAAAATCCCATGATGATATCAATAGGTGCAGAAAAAGCATTTGACAAAATCCAACACCCATTTTTTTTAAAATATGGAACGCTTCACTAATTTGCATGTCATCCTTGCACAGGGGCCATGCTAATCTTCTCTGTATCGTTCCAATTTTAGTATATGTGCTGCTGAAGCGAGCACCCATTTTTTGATTTAAAAAAAAAAATCTCAGCAAAGTGGGATTAGAGGGATTATATATCACCATAATAAAAGCCATATATGGCAAACCTACAGCAAACATCATACTAATGGGCAAAAACTAAAACCATTTCCCCTAAGAACAAGAACAAGACAGGGATGTCCACTTTTACCATAATTATTCAACACTAGAGACCCGGTGCACAGATTCATGCACCAGTGGGGTCCCTCCGCCTGGCCTGCAGGGATTGGGCCAAAACTGCTTCTCTGACATCCCCCTAAGAGTCCCAGATTGCGAGAGGGTGTAGGCCAGGCCGAGGGACCCCACTGGTGTACGATTGGGGCCAGGGAGGGACCGTGGGAGGGCTCCAGTCTGTGTCTGGCCCATCTTACCCAATCCAGATTGGGGCCGATCAGGGCAGGTCAGGGAGGGACCGTGGGAGGGCTCCAGGGCATGTCCAGCCCATCATGCCCAGTCCTAATCAGCAGGACCTCAGTAACAAGCTAACCTACTGGTCGGAGCATCTGCCCCCTGGTGGTCAGTGTGCATCATAACGACTGGTCAAATGGTCAAATGAACAGTCAAACGTGTAGCATATTAGGAATTTATTATATAGGACCAGAGGCCTGGTGCACGACATTTGTGCACTGGCGGGGGGGGGTCCCTCAGCCTGGCCTGCACCCTCTTGCAGTCTGGAACCCCTCGGGGGATGTCCACCTAAGCCAGGAGGCAAACATCCCCCAAGAGGTCCTTAGTGCTGCCATGGAGGTGAGAGAGCTCCCGTCACCACCGCTGTGCTTGCCAGCCATGAGCCTGGCTTCTGGCTGAGCAGCACTCCCCCTATGGGAGTGCACTGACCACCAGGGGCAGCTCCTGCATTGAGCATCTGCCCCCTGGTGGTCAGTGCATGTCATAGAGACCAGTCATTCTGCTGTTCAGTCGATTTGCATATTAGCTTTTTATTATATAGGACTAGAGGCCCAGTGCACAAAAATTTGTGAACTCGGGAGAGGGGTAGGTCCCTCAGCCCAACCTGTGCCCTCTCACAGTCTGGGACCCCTCGGGGGATGACCATCTGCTGGCTGAGGCCTGCTCCCCATGGGATTGGGCCTAAGCTGGCAATCAGACATCCCTCTGGCAGCCCGGCAGCCATCAGGGGATGTCCACTTGCCAGCAGGGAGCAGACCTAACCTGCAGTCGGACATCCTTAGCTCTGCTGAGGAGGCAAGAGAGGCTCCCACCACCACCGCTGTGCTGGCAGCCATCAGCCTGACTTGTGGCTGAGCAGAGCTCCTGCATATGAGAGCTCACTGACCACCAGAGGGCAGCTCCTGCATTGAGCGTTTACCCCCTGGTGGTCAGTGTGTGTCATAGTGACCAGTCATTCCCAGTCTTTCTGCTGTTAGGGTCAGTTTGCATATTACCCTTTTACTGTATAGGATAGAGGCCTGGTGCACTGGTGGGGGCCGGCTGGTTTGCCTTGAATGGCGTCCTGGATCAGGGTGGGGGTCCCCACTGGGGTGCCTGGCCAACCTGGATGAAAGCTGATGGCTGTTTATTAGCTTTTTATTATATAGGATAGTACTGGAAGTCCTAGCAATAGCAATCAGACAAGAAGAAAACAGGACGGGCATCCATTGGAAAGAAGGTAATAAAACTCTCATTATTCACAGATGACATGATATTATGCATTAAAAAAACATAAAGACTCCACCAAAAAACTACTAGATTTAATAAATGAATTCAGCAATAGAGCAACATACAAAATTAACCCACAGAAATCAATGGCATTTTTATACACCAATAATGAATTCTCAGAAGGAGAAACTAAACAAACAACCCCATTTACCACAGCAACAAATAAATTAAGTTATGTAGGAATAAACTTAACCGAGGAGTTAAAAGACTTGTACTCAGAAAACTATAGAACATTGAAAAAAGGGATAGAATACGATATAAACAAGTGGAAGAATATGCTGTGTTCATGACTGGTAGAATTAACATCATTAAATTGTCCGTAATACCCAAAGCAATCTACAGATTCAATGCAATCCCTCTTAAAATAACAATGGCATATTTCACAGATCTAAAAAAAAAAATACTCCAAAAAATTATATGAAACCAAAAAAGACCCCGAATCACTGCAGCAACTTTGAGATAGAAGAACAAAATTGGAGGGGTCACAATTCCAGATATAAAGTTATACTACAAAGCCACTGTAATTAAAACAGCCTGATACTTGCACAAAAACAGACATATAGATCAAAGGAACAGAACAGAGAACCCAGAAATTGACCCAAGCCATTACGCTCAATTAAATTTTACAAAGAAAGCAAGAGCCTACAATAAAATCAAGAGAGTTTCTTCAGTGAATGGTGTTGGAAACATTGGACAGACACATGCAAAAAAATGAAACTAGACCATCAACTTACACCATACACATGAATAAGCTCAAACTGGATAAAAGACTGAAATATGTCAGGAAACCATAAAAATCCTAGAAGAAACCATAGGCACCAAAATTTCAGACATCTCTCATTGCAATATATTTGCTGATACATCTCCTAGGGCAAAGGAAACGAAGGAGGAAATAAACAAATGGGACTACCTCAAAATAAAAAACTTCTGCACATCCAAAGAAACCATCAACAAAATGAAAAGGGAGCCCACTGTGTGGGAGAACATATTTGTCAGTGATACACATAATAAAGGGTTAATATCCAAAATATAAGGATCTCATACAATTTAACAAAAGGAAGACCAATAATCCGATTAAAACGGGCAAAGGGGCGACGGTGGTGGCGGCGGCGGCAGTGGGTTCGGTTGCGCGTGGCGCACGGGGTGGGAGCGGAGCCCAGGCCGGGAACAGACGCTGCCGCCAGCAACCATGGGGAACGTGTTGGCCGCTAGCTCGCCGCCTGCAGGGCCACCGCCGCCGCCCCCGCCCGCCCTCGTGGATCTGCGGCCTCCACCCTCTCCTCGGGGCTTCACACTGCCGCCGCTTGGGGGTGGCCTGGGTGCTGGGGCCGCGGTTCAGGTTCAGAACAGACTCCCGGGGACTGCAGGCGCCGCAGGGACCACGGACGATGGGGCATGTTCGAGGAGTGCCACCGGAAGTGCAAGGAGCTGTTTCCTATTCAGATGGAAGGTGTCAAGCTCACAGTCAACAAAGGGCAGAGTAACCATTTCCAGGTGAACCACACACTAGCCCTCAGCACAATCGGGGAGTCCAACTACCATTTCGGGGTCACGTACATGGGGACAAAGCAGCTGAGTCCCATGGAGGCATTCCCCGTGTTGGTGGGTGACATGGACAATAGTGGCAGCCTCAATGCTCAGATCATTCACCAGCTGGGCGCCGGCCTCAGGTCCAAGATGGCCATCCAGACCCAGCAGTCTAAGTTCGTGAACTGGCAGGTGGACGGGGAGTACCAGGGTTCTGACTTCACAGCGGCCGTCACCCTCGGGAACCCAGACGTCCTGGTGGGTTCAGGAATTCTCGTGGCCCACTACCTCCAGAGCATCACGCCATGTCTGGCACTGGGCGGAGAGCTGGTCTACTACCGGCGGCCTGGGGAGGAGGGTACTGTCATATCTCTAGCTGGGAAATACACATTGAACAACTGGTTGGCGACAGTAACGTTGGGCCAGGCGGGCATGCACGCGACATACTACCACAAAGCCAGTGACCAGCTGCAGGTAGGTGTGGAGTTTGAGGCCAGCACAAGGATGCAAGACACGAGCGTCTCTTTCGGGTACCAGCTGAACTTGCCCAAGGCCAACCTCCTCTTCAAAGGCTCCGTGGACAGCAACTGGATCATGGGCGCCACGCTGGAGAAGCAGCTCCCGCCCCTGCCTCTGACGCTGGCCCTCGGGGCCTTCCTGAATCACCGAAAGAACAAGTTCCAGTGTGGCTTTGGCCTCACCATCGGCTGAGCCACTCCTGGCTCCTGCCTCCCACTCCCTCCCTCCTTGAGATTCCCCCTGCTCTTCCCCCGATAGAGGGGAGACCTACACGCCCCTCCCTCGCCCTTCCCTCCCTCCTTGGTGGTCAGGGGGGCAGCGGAAAGGAGGGGGCCATCACCCCAGCAGCTGAAGGGGGAATTCTAGAACCACGGGCGCTTCAGGATTCAGAGCACCGGGGGCTGTGTGCCCAGTGGACCTGGGGCCCAGAAGGGGTTCTGGAATCGAAGGGCACGCCAGATTCTGAGCACCAGGGGCAGAGGCTGCCAGGCAACCTCAAGAGGTGTTGGGGCATCGCCACCCCCCCCCCAAAGATCTTGGGGCCCCGCCCCAAGGGGGCAGCAAGAGGAGCTTCCCCATCCCAGGTCTGCCCTCCACCCACTTTCCCATCCACTCCTCGGTATAAATCATGTTTATAAGTTATGGAAGAACTGGGGCATTTTACAGAAAAAAAACAAAAAATATACATGAAAAACAAAAACAAAAACAAAATAAAAACAGGCAAAGGACCTGAATAGATACTTCTCCAAACTGAACATACAGATGGCCAAGAAACATATGAAAAAATGCTCAAAGTCACTGATCATCAGAGAGATGCAAATTAAAATGACAATGCGGTATCACCTCACACCTGTCAGAATGGCTACCATAAACAAATCAACAAATGACAAGTACTGGTGAGAATGTGGAGAAAAGGGAACTCTTGTACACTGTTGGTGGAAATGTGGACTGGTGCAACCATTATGGAAAACATTATGGAGTTTCCTCAAAAAATTAAATATGTAATTTCTATTTTACCCAGTGCTCCCACTTCTAAAAATATATCCAATGAAACCTGAAACACCAATAAAAAAGAATGTATGCACCTCTATGTTCATAGAAGCACAATTTATAGTATCTAAGATCTGGAAATAGCACAAGTGCCCATCAGTAGATGAGTGGATAAAAAAAAACTGTGGTACATTTATACCATGGGAATACTATGCAGCAGTAAAAAAGAAGAATCTCTTACCCTTTGACACAGCGTGGAGGGACTTGGAGAGTATTATGCTAAGTGAAATAAGTCAGTCAGAGAAAGATAAGTATCACATGATCTCACTCATATGTGGAATCTAAGGAACAAAATAAACGGTTGAACAAAATAGATCCAGAGACATTGAAGCATGGAATCAAATGTGGAATCTTAGAGGGAATGTGAGGGTGGGTGCATGGGTGGGAAATGGTCAACCAAGGAACTTGTGTAGCCCATGGACTACATAGCCCATGGACACAGACAATAGGGTGGTCCAGGCCTTAGTTGATGGACATAATGGGTCAATGGAAGAAAAAATGGGACATATATATTACTTTCAACAATAAAGTTTTTTTAAAAAAATAAAAAAAGAAGGGAAGAATAAGATTGCCACTAGCACCCACTTCAGCTGGGAAGACCAAAAAGATACTGAACATTCCTGCAGGTGTGGTCAGTACAAGTGGCAGCTCAGTCCAATAACCTGGAAGGGGATGAAGCACAAAGTTACAGCCACAGTTGTCTGCCAGTTTTCCTGACGAAACAAAGCCCAAAACCTAGCTGCCTCCACATATGCTCCAAGAGTTAGCAGCAGGCCCCAGAAGAAGCTGTGGCAGTGAGTTTCAGTTTGCAGAGCACTTTATATGGAAACACAAGAATGGCTACTACAGAAATATTTTCTCTCTGAGTGATAGTAGCACCCTGTGTGCACTCCCATCGTCAAGTGGAGACACAAAGAGGAAAGATGCAAGGGTCTACCAGTCACCATTACAGAAAAAGCAAGAAAGAGATGGAGGAGCCAGTCTGCCCCAGCTTACTCCACCACCACCCATTGCAGTTGCACTGCAGGCATGTCTGGCTGTGAAGGAAAGTACTGGAATTTCATGGATTTTGTTTTACTTTGTTATTTTTTTAAATCCTCATGTGAGTCTGTTTTTCATTGATTTTAGAGAGAATGGGAGGAAGAGAGAAAAAGAAACATTGATGTGAGAAACATTGTACCTGGACTGGGGATCAAACCCACAACCTAGGTATGTGCCCTGACTGGGAATTTAACCCATAATCTTATTGGTGTATGGGTGGGCACTCAAACAACAGAGCCACCAGGCCAGTCTGGAATTTCATGGATTTTGAATGTCCACGCCCCACATTCTTTTATGGTGTTGGCCCCCTGAGAACGAGGTGACCTGAACACAGAGGAGATGCCACCTTTCCATGAAACACAGGACATTTTCCACCACCCCTTAGAGATCTAAAAAGCTAACGCAGTTTGAGAAAACTAAACAATTTATGATTCAGTGCCACCTATAAGAAAACAATAGAAACACATTAACAATCTAATAGAGAAGTGCCACTCTTACATAAATGCCTAGACAGAGAATGAATTCATCAAATATCATGAATAAACAAGTTAATGAGGCAGCTCAGAAAGAAAATTAAAAATCTTCAGAAAATAAACTTAAAGACAAGGAAATATGTTACTTAAATTACAGAAAATTCAAGATTACAATACTGAAAAAATAACTCAATGAGATGCAAAACTCAAGCAAGTTTAATAAAATCTGAAAAAACATAAGCAACAAACAAAATGAGTACTTTACCAAAGAAATTAAAACACTAAAAATGAACCAAATAAAAATTCTGGAGATCAAAAACTCAATAAAACAGATAAATAAGTGAGCATAGGAAATAGAGCTGACCAGATAGAAGAAGTAATTAATGATTTTGAAGATAGAAATACAGAAATGACACAGAGGGGAGAAGAGCAATATTTGGGAGTAAAAAGGAAAGAATTCTACAAGTACAATCTGACTCCATCAGAAAGTTCATATAAAAAAATAGTAATACTAGAAGGAGAGAGAGAAGGGAATGGAGAGCCTATTCAAACAAATAGGTGATGAGAATTTTCCAAACCTGTGGAAAGATCTATATCCTCAAATACAAGAAACAAACAGAACTCCTATTTACCTCAATCCAAAAGTCATTCTCCAAGGCACATTATATTAAAACTGTCAAAGATTAATGACAAAGAAAGAATTCTCAAGGAGGCCAGGGAAAAGAAGAAAGTAACCTATAAAGGAAAGCCCATTAAATTATCACCTAAATTCCCAATACAAACCCTACAAGCTAGAAGAGAGTGGAACCAAATATTCAAATCACTGAAAGAGAAATGACTAGGCAAGAATAATATATCCAGCAAAGTTATCTTTTGACTATAGAAGAGAAATAGACTTTTTCAGACACCCAGAAGCTGAGGGAATTTATCATCACAACACCTTCATTGCAGGAAATATTCAAGTGTTGGGGGGGGGGAGGTTTCCTACCTAAAACAAAGAACAAAGAGTCACAAAACTGAGTAAGAGCACCAAGAACATTGCAACATAAATAGGAATAATTTGTGACAACAAAACATAAAATGAAAGGGGGTTTAGGTCTGAATTTGCAAAGGAGTATGAAGATCATTCAAAAGAAAAAGGATTACTTTATATATGAATTTCCTTTTTCATAAACCATGCACTCAAAAATCCAAAACTGAGACACATAACTTAAAAAAAAAAGAAACACAACAGAAGAAACAAGGGGACAAGTATGGAATGCTACAAAACAAAAACAACATACTGAAAAGCAAAGGAAAAAATGGGGGCACTGAGCTACCAGAAAAGAAAAGATAAAATGGCTACTAAAAAATTCTCATACATAATTAATTACCCTAAATGTAAATAAACTAAATTCAACAATAAGAAGGCACAGAGTAGGAGAGTGGATCAACAAACAAAACCCAACCATTTGTTTTCTTGAGACACATCTAAGCTGCAAAGACAAAGACAGACTCCAAGTGAAAGGGTAGAAAATTATTTTCCAAGAAAATAACATCCACAAAAAAAGCAGGTGTAACTATACCTATATCTGACAAAATAGATTTCAAGATAACAAGGGTAACAAGAGACAAAGATGAACATTTCATAATCACAAAGGGGACATGAAATCAAGAAGACATAGCACTTCTCAGTATATATGCATCCAATCAGGAAGCACCAAAATATATAAAGCAACTACTAACAGAAATAAAGGAAGAAACTGACAAAAACACACTTGTAGTAGGGTACCTAAATACCCATAAGCAGCTATGGGTAAATCGTCGAAATAAAAAATCAATAAAGATATATCAGCCTAAATGACACATAATTAACATTTACACAGGCTTTCATCCAGAACATCAGACTATATATTCTTCTCCAGTGAACATGGAAGAATCTCAAGGATAGACTGTATGTTGGGACATAAAACTAACCTCAACAAATTCAAGAAGATTAAAATCATATCAAGCATTTTCTCCAACCACAAGGCTTTGAAATTAGTAATCACCTGCAAAAAGGAACTAAAACCCCCCCACAAATATATAGAGATTAAAAAACATGCTTCTAAGATTTGCGTGGCCTTTGAAATATTAATTTACCTGTGGTGCTCTGGATGCATGAGGCTTCTTCTTTGGTGTAATGGTCACTGACCTTCTTATGTGAAGCAGGTAAAATCATTTGTCAGTGCAAAATGTGTTAGAACTTGATGAAATAAAGCTTTTTTAAAAATTAAAAAATGCTTCTAAAAAATGACTGGGTCAAAAAACAAACAGTGAAATCAAAAGATATATGGAGACAAATGAGAATGACAGTAGACATCAAAATTTTAGGATAGAGTAAAAGCAGTAATAAGAAATAAGTTTATATCATTACTGGCCTAACTCAAAAAAAAACACAAGAAAAATCTCAACTAAACAATCTGGCATTACATCTTCAAGTACCAGAAAAAGAACAAAAGCAACCCAAAGTCAGTAGAAGAAAGAAAATAATAAAAATTATAGCAGATTGAATAAAATAGATAACAAAAAAAACTATTTTAAAAAGCTCTGGTTCTTTTAAAAGATTAATAAAGTTGACAAAACCCTGGCTAGATTCACTAGGAGAAAAGCAAAAAATAAACAAAAACAGA